TTGGACCTTGCCCACAATTTTTAGCTTGCCTATTATCTCAGTACCAGAACTGTGCCAGGTTACAAAAAAGTTCTATGAGCTAAAGATAAGTAAGCATAACATGCTACATAAGTATATCTCTGTAAAACTCACTTATGAAGAGCCAAGGCTCAGAAACACCCTGAAATATTTTGAAAAATTGTTAAAATGGGGCCCATTGCATACAACAGCAGCGGTAAAGCACATAAATGCTTGTGATATTTGTGCTAGTTTTCAGTGAAAATGATAGCACAGGGAAGAACAGTCCTTTACAGTAAAGATGTTGTTACTAACTTTATATAGTATGTGACTAGATTAATAAAATGTGTCATGTCACAGAATCATTTGATTTTGTCTAAATTAAAATCTATGAAGAATGCTACCAATGTTCTTATGTTTGCCATAAGAGACTATTTCTTTTCCCTGTATAAACACTGTATAAACAGTGGGATTGACTGGTACTGGCCAGTGAATGGTTACTTGATTAGATCATTTTGCTGTTGTGTGCTTGGTTGCCAAGCCTTTGAACAGGAGTGAGGCTAAAGTTGACCTTGTTATGCTTTTCAAATGCAAATTAGTTTGTTATCATGCTAACTAGATACCGGTCTCCATCACAGCAAGGTCACCTTCAGCCTCACTCCAAATCAAAGGCTTGGCAACTAAGGACACAACTGTAAAATGGCCTATTGTCACTTCCTGAGCCAAGACCATGGGAGGGTGGGATCAGCTTTCAAAGCAGCTTAAACCTCCAAAGCAGCCTAAGCCTCCAAGCAGCTTACAAACTGTTGCTAAGAAATTGAGCACAGGGGAATCCCATAAACTGAACTACTTAAGGGAGTCCTTGAACTAATCTCAAAATAATGGTACTCTCTTTAAAATTCCCTCCTCATGCCCCTCCCTCCGAACAAATCCTTAGAATAAAGACAGGGAATTATGGTGCTTTGATAAGGCTATGCATATTGTTACTTTTTATTAGTTGCCCAACAGTTAGGCTAGACAAAATATTTTTGTTTGTAAAACTGTGTATCCGCTTGTGATTTGGTGGGGTGTTCTTGACCAAAGTTGCTGTGTGTCTATTCGGTATTCATTAAAGCTGATGAAAAGTTCAGAAGAAAAATACACAAAATGTTGGCACTCAATGTATTATTAAAAAGCTCTTCTTCTATCAAACACTTCTCAAATCCAGTCATTCTCAAATAAGCCCTCAGTATAGAAGCTTTGGTAATTAATCATTTATTCCTCCAATAAGTGCCCTGTTACCGATATACTATATTAGCTTGAAGGAGGGGTACTTATTGGAAGGAAGGTGATTAATCACATGGAGAGCTTATCAGGAACTTTTTGACTCTTTCGGATTCAGCTGTTAATTGAAGCTCAACAAGGTATAAAGAACATGGCAATAGAAACAGGTCTTCCCAGTGTCTTTACCAAGAAAACGAGGGAGGAGGGGTTGCACACATTGACTCAAAAGCCCAGAAAGTGGGTGCCTATATTAGGGAGGGTACTTAGAGCATGGGTGTTTATTCAAGGAAATGCATTACAGCCTTCAGGGCTTGATGAAACATTTCAGTATTTGGTGGAAAGGTACTCAAGATATTATTTGGGATAAGATTGTGGCAGGAGTTTATCTTGTGTATGCACAAATTCAAAAGCTATTTGTCAGAGGTACTATAATAACAGAAAAATGTTAATCCATATGTGAATTAAATATCCATGCTTTTTAACCCTTTAATTCCCAAGACCTGATGGTGAATTCTCTCTTCTGGGTGCTACACATTTTTTTTTTGTAAATTAGCTGCAAGAATTTGGTGTTCAATCAATCTTGTACCTGATAAGTTTGAGTTTTGTTGGATGATGTATGGATATAATAGGGAGAAGTCACATGTTAATCACTTCTGAGAGTTAAAGTAAAGTTTAAAAAACGAGCAAGAGTGTTTTATTGGGTTTAAAACCACGAGGCGTAGCCGAGTGATTTTTGACCCGATAAAACACATGCTGCAAGTTTTTTGAACGGCTTCAAAAACATTCTTGGAAAAGCGTGTGTCAAGAGAGTTCATAACAATTATGCTTTTGTTAGAAATTAGCATACAATGATGATGTATTGTCTAATATGCCTTTACCAGATTACTGTACTAATGGAATAGAGAATTTTTCCAGATGTGTATTTCACAACTGTACTATTAATTTGGTGCAAAAGTAAATTTACTGTGTGAAATTTGTTGAAAGAACATTAAATGTTCCCACCATTTGTTGTGTCAGTTTCTGTGTTGATAATTAATATTCATAAGTCATGTGCAGTGTCTTTATATCTGATAAAACACTGCATACTAATAAGGATGAGGTTTATTGAAAGATATAAAGTCACTATTTACCATTTGATAGGTTAATGGGCTTATGAATTATTAATGAGTTTTTGAAAGGGTTAACAGTGTCGTGTTTAAGGTTAAGTCCGAGGGTGACAAGTGTACTTTCAAATTAACAGTAATTCAAAAACAAAGTAGACAACACCTTTGCAGTATACAAACATGACAACAAAGTTGCCACCAAATTAATATAACATTAAGAGTTTAGTGACACCTCATGTTTTGCAGGCTCCTGTTTTTGAAATTATTAATGGTTGCAAGTTGGAGTTTCAAACAAGCAGCCAGAATTGCAGTGTTGCACAGGGGTATAATCTGAGCAATTTTATCATACAGTAGATGAATACAGTGTAACCAAGTTACAGGAATTTCATGCAAATATTTCAAGGTCACCATTTAAATATCATGTAAACCTTTATTTAAGCTGTGCTTGAATTAAGCCTATAACCTCCAGGTTATTGATCACGAATACAGTAATATACGAGTATGTTGACCATACCACCCTAATAGTTATGAAGTTCAACTTATCTATTTCTTGAATGTAAGAGAAAAATGACCAGCTTATTTTGTCCCAAATGACGATAATAACTCATAACCAATGAGATTACACACAAAAAATTCAACTGACAACAAGCACTGTAAGTGTGGGTCTGGGAGGGTTGATAAAAATCTTCATGACACAACCTAACCAACGGCTCAAAGTCAGGGCTTTACCATCCCATGTCAATTGACAACAGAAAACCTGGTGAAACACTTTCAATCAAAAGCAGATCTCAGGCAGTTGATGACATTATTGATCATTAATTACAACAAACAAAAAAGCTGTTGTGACCATCAACCACAAGATCTCTGATGCACATGTACTGTCTGTGGACAAAATTAACCATTAAAATAATAGTGTATAAATATAAAGGTGTGTGTATCTCCACAGAAGCAGGTGTAACTTCTGATTCATTAAAATAAAAAGAAAGCATTATGAAACTTAACCGTTTGCAATTTGACATTAAAATAAAAAGAAAATGCCCAAGGTATTCCAGCTTTTAGGAATCCCTCACTAGGTCCACTAATAAAATGCATAAAAGGCCTATGAACATCTCGCATATTTTCCACTTCATTATAGCAACAAGCCTAACCTATCAAAATTAAGCCCAAGAACTCAGCATAATAGCCACAGAATTCAATCTCTGATCACTACTCCCAATAACTGAAAACCCAGTGTCTGAGTCAGTCAGTGTAACCATGTTACCTGATTGCCACAGTTATATTCACAATAATATAACCAACATTGTTTAAACCTCTAATGATACTACAAGTAATTTGTATACATGCAGCATATCAATTGTATAAATAAAAATAATTTAAATACAGGTTAATCTAAGCCTGTTGAAGTGTGGGTCTGTTGCTATGCAATAATGAGTGTACCATAGGATAAATCACATACATCAGCATTCAGCACACCACTTAAATGCACCGTCTGAAACACTTTGTCACTAATTCTACTTCTAATGATATATTTAAAAGAAGCATATTAAATAAAATGGGATGAGAAAAAGCCTTGGATGCCTTGAGAGACTTTAAATCTAACATTGCATTTTGTGATATTATTATACCCTGATCATTAGACCTTAAATTTTTATCAGCAACAACAATGACCAAGTTCACAAGACAAGGAAACATCTTGAGAGAACCTCTACCAAACTAGATATTCCCAGAACTACCCTAAAGAAATTTATAACTACCACTTTAAATACTACTAGTTATTTATTAGTTAAGATTCTTTCTCTCTCTTTCCCATAGTTGTTTGCTTCAATGGAATTTGAGAGAAAATCCATACTATCTAGCTAGCAATTATGCACACAATTTGTAAGAACATATCACTTGTGTGCAGTAGCAGAAACTGGCGTTCCAAACATAGCCTCTCCTAAATCCTCACTGAGTTCAGCAAGCTTTTTGGGGTTGTTATAATGAGTGACAGCCTGAGCCATTGCCCATG